GTCGGAACAAAAAGGTAGTTGTTTGAAAAGTTAAAAAACTTAAATTTCGACCGACAGTTTTAACTCTTTGCGTTTTCACCACAAGACAAAGAAGCAATTTCTATAGGCTTGAGCAATCAAACAAACATTCAGGACCGCTAACACTTCGGCTTGATAGGGTCTTAGGCGAGAGTCAGTCTTACTCAATAAAATATGTATCGCTGATAAAAACAACAACGCTGATTTAATAGTGTCGGTTTGAAGGTTAAAAAAGCTGAAAAAATTGTGCCTATCAGAAAGTAAAAACGTTAAAAATTAGGGTCTAGCTTAATAACACTGACATAGTGGTGATCAGGGGCGGATCTAGGGTTTTCTCGAGGGGGGGGGGGGCGGATTTTCAAAAAAAATCGAAAATTTTGACGACCTTTTTTTTTAGGTCGACCAAGTTATTGATTTTTCGAGCTCTCCCAAAGCAGTGTTTTGCCCATATTTTGGTAAAATTTTCTGCGCCGCAGACAAATTTTTGAAAAAAGTCAAAAAAGCCGTTTTTGGGCACTTTTTGAAAAATTTTGACAAAAAAATCGCGTTTTTTTTGGCGCGCGCTCCCCCTCAAAGTTAGTATATATTGGCGCCAAAGGCGCCTTTACAAAAATTTTAGGGTCGGTCGGCCAAAAATGGATTTCTTAAAAAGTACCAAAGGGGGGATCCTTTGGGTCGGTAGGGGGTCGAATCCCTGAGAAGGGGCGTCCGCATACCCCCCCCCCCTAAATCCGCCCCTGGTGGTGATGTATTCAGCGCATTGTCGCGTATAAGAAAACTCAAACAACTTGCCTCATTTCAATTCAGTTTAATCACATCCTGTCTCTCCAAATGATAAATTGCGCAACGTGTTCCTGACCAACCCCTATCCGTTCCTTAACTACACTTCTTCGAGTAACTAACGCCCCGTGATTCTTTTTACTGGCACTAATACAATTCAAATATTTGCGACAAATTCTCTAGAAACCAATTAGATTCACTCTCACCGTTAACTATGTCCCTGAATTTTTTGCAGCTAAACTGTAATAGCATCTCTGAGAAAAACTGGAAAGAGCAGATTTTTTGTTCAAGTACTACATTCACTATCGGATGTTCAAGAAACTTAACTTATTTCGAAAAAGAGGCAAACTCTCGCTAGCGCCCAACTACACTTTACTTTGGAAAGACTGATCGCGGTAAGGGGGAGGACTACTAATTGCCTTTCATAATTCTCTTCTCTCTGATGACATTGAAATAGTGGAGATCAGAAGGCGCAAAGGGGTAATGTTAAAGGCCAAAGATCAGAATATCCATATCAGGAACGCTTAATCCACTCCCCAGAATAGCTCTCCTAAAGACTATAAAGCAACTATCTCAACACTCCTCTGAGATGAAAAAGGTTTGTACTGAGCTGAGCGTTGCAAACGCTCATTCACCCTTTTGGTGCTTTAATATACCAGAGGACCAATGAGGACACCTATGAGCCAATTTGATTCAATCTTTTTTCACTCCACAAAAAGATCACCACCAAGATCGACTGCCATACGAAAAAAGCTCATGAGCATCATCCCCTGACATTTCACTCGCTTGTTTTTTTTTTACTTGATGTTACTTAATCTTGTTTGACAAACAACTTTTCAACTTGGCTCAGACCATCTACCGAGTTTTAGGCATCTTTCCATTGCCGAGGATATCTCTTTTGACTCCATAAAAGCTTTATAAACTTTGAAACAGCGGATTGCTAAAGTGTTAAAAAGAATTTGAATTTGCAAATAACTTTTTTCAGCTGAATTTAAATGCCGCTGTGCGAAGTTTTTGTATTACCATACTCTCTGCATATTATCACTATACATTTTAGGCCGTCATCAATTCTTTCTACCTGAACTAAATGACGAAACAAACAAACCAGCACAGTTAGGGAAAAAATCAGATTAATGCATCTGTCAAATCCACAAATTAAACAGAAATCATTTTCAGAACGGCCAAAATAAAGAAAAGAAATGGCGAGAAATCCCCTGGAGTTTCAGTCAACACATTTCACCTAGCAACTTTTGGAAAACGCCTCGGCCGCTAAATCGTTTAATGGTTCTAAGTCTGTGTTACAAAGCCATCTCATCAGTTTTAATGACAAAATCGACGGATTCACTCAACTAATACGGCGCTATTAGTTCTCGACTTTTTTTTTTACTTTTAGAGATTTTAGATAACAAAAGCCATCCACTAGATCAGTTTTGAACACAATTCGGTTTATCATGGTCTGTCATCTAACTCTCTTTGATCACCTCCATGACAGCAGCATACCGAGAAGCTTAATCAGATAGTTATGAATTTACTTGAGTTGTGGCCGAGCGCAGACATTTTTTGAAATGCCCTGTCAGCGCCCTTAGTGATGCATATTTTCTAAGATTGTTCGCTGAGGTGTCCCACTTACCTTGCTTAATTTGGCAGATTAGTCCTATCACCTTTTCAATTGAAATTTTACATTCATCATGAACATAAGAATTAATGCGCCATTATAAAAAACACCATTTTTCATTTTTGATCCTCGAAGTTAACTTATAATCGTAAGCAGAGGATATCCACCCCTTCGTTCATTCGAATAATTATCAAAAAGTTTCCTCTATTTATCAAACCACAAACAAAAATACACCAAAAATTCACTCCCAGAATTTTTTCTTCATCAAAAGGTTCTACCAGCTTTTTATTCTTGTTCAATAAGAGTTAAATACTGATCTCGTATTAAAAATGAGCAATACCCTCCTTCTTTTAGAAAAGCACTCCAAAATACGCCGTAGATTGTGTCTTTTTGACCCTTAACTTCGCAAAGCAATGCAAGCAAACATCAGCAAAAAATTCGCGCAGAATAGCTATTTTGAAGGCCTTAACAGGATAACATTAGGGTTCATCGAAAAAAAGCGCTACTGATAGCCTACAGGAATTTGTTCGGACCATGCCGTCACTTGTACGTCTTTGAGAAAGTTCAAGTAATTCAAAGCGCCGTTCTTTGCACCATAACAGGTTGCACTAAAATGAGTCCTTTAGACTGTGCCCATTCAAAATGCAAAATTTTAAAAGTTGCTCACAATCATCAATTCGTATCCGCTCAGTTTACACTGCAAACATATTTTCTTTCAGTTTTCTCACTTTTTTTAAAACCAATCCAAACCCCCACCCCCCCCCCCCCCGCGGATTATCTGCTCGAAAACCCTTGAGATATATAAGCCCCAGAGAGAAAATGTCCTCCAAGAAACAGCAATGCATCTTTTTTAACTTTAAACGTTTTCAAAGAACTTAGTTTTTCGCCTCCCAAAATCTAAATTGTTTTCTTAACAACTACATACCAAAACCGTCATGCAGGCTATTGCAGATGCGCGCCTCCCCCGAAAGTACTTACAATCATTTCCCCGATAATTCCCCTTCTGAAGAACCCCTACCTCTTCGCGTCACCAGGTGAACTCTAGCCCAATTTAGATCAAGCTATAGTCCCTTCCGTAGCATTTACTTAAACAGAATAGACATGTATGTCCCTAACATCTTCCCTCGCAACTTTTTACACCTTTTTAATTGTTCCAAAAACACCACTGCTCTAACCCCTATTGATCTGTGGCTTCGGCCAACCGAAGTCGCTCACTTTGTAGGACTCGGTTTGAGCATGCTAACAACAACAAACAACAACATTCATTTTAGATTAATTTGGTCAAGTGGTCATACTTCAAACTCCCACTATGTATCGTAAAAAGATAGCATATTAGATATAAACTTAAGTTTCAACTCAAGGCATGTTCATCGGTTTCTTTCAGAGATCGTAGTCACGACTGAGAAAATTTTTGTTATCGTATCTTATCCCAACCAGGCCAAGCCCTCTGTGGCGCAAAAAACTCATGTAAAAAACGGATTTAAAAGTATTACGCTCGAATTCTTTGAACTATTTAATACGATTTCACTGTGAAAAAAGGATTTGTGTCTCTGAATAACATAAATTGCTCTGAAAGGCTTTCTTTCAAAATGTGACAATTCGATTGAAAAAATACTCGCTAATTTTATGTTTGAACTAATATAGAGCAAAGTGTGGAAAAAAGTATTCTCATGGTTATTAGAATACTTTGTTAATTACAATTATTTATTAAATTAGATTTTGCCTCAAATGAGTTCTATGAAAAGTTGTAACTAAATGCAAAGAAACTGAGTATTTTTCTTGTTTCGACTTACCAATTAAGTTCGGAAAAAATTTTGTTCAGTCAGTTTTCGATTTCTTAGCTGAATGTATGTTTTTATATCATCTGAAAGGCATTGATAACGGGAGTTTAAATAAAAACATCCACCTGTGAACTTTTTTCAGTAAGTTATGGGGGCTTGAAAATTGCTTATTTGGCATGTTTGGGAAATTAAACGCGCGATAATTTTGCGCTCTTACAACATGCGCCAGCGGCGGATCAAACTAATTCAAAATAAATTGAGGCCAGTCATATGGTCATATTTTAAAATACGAGACGCATGATACACCTCTTTGTACGCCACTTATATAATATCATTTAAGCTTGACTGGGGAAAAAATTGAAGATCTCTTAGCTCACTACTGAGATGAGTTCAGTTTCATGTCAGATCCGCGAACAAAAAAAAATTTGTTTAATTTGCTTAATTCTTTCTGCCCTTAATAGTTTTTTTCAGGCTATCAGTGTATCTTAAGTAGAAAAATTATGATTGAAAATGATCATTTTTCCATTTACACAAAACTGACAAGAAATTATGTACAAGTTTATTGAATCGAAATCAGACGCAGGTATAAATTACAATTGAGTAATAACTTCACTGCGTCAGGGATTTGTAGAAAAACTCAAATCATGACAAATGAAAATAGAAAGTTGACATTACACATAAGTTTCTTAATGTGAACTATAAATTGACATTAGTTCTTTGACGAAAATGAATGGTAGCGTATATTTAACAAGATCGTATAATTTTTCTTTTCACAGCCAGCCACTTTTTGTGTATTTGTTTAATATCTAGTGATCTCTTTTATGATTATGAAATCCACGAGGTCCCACCATTCTCCTCTGAGCATCAGAAGCCATTCGTCTGTTGTTTGGATCTCTTTGCATAATTTTTTGCTGGTCGCGCTTTTCTTGCAGCCGATGCGATGCTCGCCTTCTCTCCAGCAGTCCGGAAATGCTTTTATCTGCTTTTCGTTCCGCAATTTCTCCTCGTTTTAACGGCCAACTGCCTTTTGCGGCTTCTAGTTCCTCCGCATCTTCGTCTCGCCTCACGAAGCCACTGCCTTTCGCCGCTCCTCGTTCCTCCGCATCTTCGTCTCGCCTCACGAAGCCACTGCCTTTCGCCGCTCCTCGTTCCTCCGCATCTTCGTCTCGCCTGACGAAACCACTGCCTTTCGCCGCTCCTCGTTCCTCCGCAACTTCGTCTCGCCTCACGAAGCCACTGCCTTTCGCCGCTCCTCGTTCCTCCACATCTTCGTCTCGCCTCACGAAGCCACTGCCTTTCGCCGCTCCTCGTTCCTCCGCATCTTCGTCTCGCCTGACGAAACCACTGCCTTTCGCCGCTCCTCGTTCCTCCGCAACTTCGTCTCGCCTCACGAAGCCACTGCCTTTCGCCGCTCCTCGTTCCTCCGCATCTTCGTCTCGCCTGACGAAGCCACTGCCTTTCGCTGCTCCTCGTTCCTCCGCATCTTCGTCTCGCCTCACGAAGCCACTGCCTTTCGCCGCTCCTCGTTCCTCCGCATCTTCGTCTCGCCTGACGAAGCCACTGCCTTTCGCTGCTCCTCGTTCCTCCGCATCTTCGTCTCGCCTCACGAAGCCACTGCCTTTCGCCGCTCCTCGTTCCTCCGCATCTTCGTCTCGCCTCACGAAGCCACTGCCTTTCGCCGCTCCTCGTTCCTCCGCATCTTCGTCTCGCCTCACGAAGCCACTGCCTTTCGCCGCTCCTCGTTCTTCCGCATCTTCGTCTCGCCTCACGAAGCCACTGCCTTTCGCCGCTCCTCGTTCCTCCGCATCTTCGTCTCGCCTGACGAAGCCACTGCCTTTCGCTGCTCCTCGTTCCTCCGCATCTTCGTCTCGCCTCACGAAGCCACTGCCTTTCGCCGCTCCTCGTTCCTCCGCATCTTCGTCTCGCCTCACGAAGCCACTGCCTTTCGCCGCTCCTCGTTCCTCCGCAACTTCGTCTCGCCTCACGAAGCCACTGCCTTTCGCCGCTCCTCGTTCCTCCGCTTCTTCGTCTCGCCTCACGAAGCCACTGCCTTTCGCCGCTCCTCGTTCCTCCGCATCTTCGTCTCGCCTCACGAAGCCACTGCCTTTCGCCGCTTCTCGCGTTTTTAACTTATCAGTTTTTCGTGCCTCGCTGGAGTGTTTTTCATCTCTGAATGAAAACTTTGGAAACGATCGTTTATGGTTGTGATGTTTGTTTGCTGAAACAAAAATAAATTCAATTCCAAAATTTTTAACATAATTTTTTCTATGCTCGTTTTGACTTTTTTAAATGATTTTTCGTTTTTAATTCTTTAGTGCAACTTTATGTGACAAAAACTACTAACCTTCGACGAGACAAGCGAGAAGCAACACAGCGAAGGCTCCAAGTCCCAATCTCATTTTTTTTTCTTTTTTCAACTGAAGAACAACTAAACAACAAACCAATTCTAAGCCAAAATGAACATATTCTGACTTTCACGGCTCACCGGAGAATCCAGGTAGAAGCTGGTAGCTTTCTCAGACTGTTTAAATGATTACAGCAATGATTGCTGTGTTGGAGGAGTTTTGGCTTCGAATGCCATGCCAAGAAAATGGTGACAGTTAAAATGCCTCTATTTCTCGTCAAAGCAGGTTTTGATAAACGATTTTATTTACAACTGATGTGATAAAAATTGAGTATTTGATAGCATGCTGTGAAGCAACTTTTTATTTGCATTGAACTTTTTTTCCTGTACTCTCAAAACAAACTAAGCATGCTGCTTTAAAACAATGCTTTAATCTTTTATCTATATTCATTAAAAAATGTCATAAACCGTTTGCTTTTAAATTGCATTCAGTATCTTTGAGCTGGTTAACTTTACAGCATGATGGTTGATAAATTTTCAATGTTTATTTTGGAGATTTATTATTGGAAAAAAGTATTAAAATGGTCGTTGATTTTTGTTGGTACTTTTGACGAGAGGCTTAATTAAGACAATGAAACAGCGTTTTAAACATGTATTACAAATACTGATCTTCATACTGATTTTTTCAGGATCAAAAATTTCATGTACTAATTGTACCTTTTCATGAACTCTTCAGGCTAATTGATTCACTTCTGCTACTCGCTAATAACCTCTATTGACGCAGTTTTTCTACGTGATACAGCGAGCATTTAGTTGTAACAGCCCAAAAATATTAATAATTTAATTGTCCTGCAAAAACAGACTATTAACATCTGATTAAAAAATACCAAAAGTCCCACAGGTACATGCATAAATTTATTAGTAATAATCATGATAATTTGTTACAGTAGAGCGTTGTACGTAGGTTCGAATTTTGTTGCACTCTGATTGGTCGAAAAATCGCTGCAAGTAATCTACTTAACAAGAAAGGGGGGGGGGGAGATTGTAAAGTAGATGCTAAATTATACATATGATCGCCTCACGAACCCAGTCTGGGAGATCGTCTAGAAGTTTTCGAAAACTCTAACCGTATGAACATTCGGTTTTGGCTGCCAACTTTCTCAAAATGTTTTGAAAATTATTCATAGCTAGACTTCATCTTTTTCAAATTTGAATGCAAAAACTCAATTCGAACCAATGTACTTTTGCTGTAACTTACCTAACAAGTTAATTGATTAGCATTGGCATATCCTTTTTGAAAAAACTAATGACCTAAAAACTGAATTAATATTTCATGTTTGGTAAATTCATATTAAATCGCATTGTAGTCAATGATGGTCGAGATCGTCGAAACATACCTCAAGAGAACTCTAGTAGTTAGGAAAAAAAGTTTTGCGATAAGTGCAATGAACAACTGGAACGGTCTATCAAACACGCTGATCTCAGCCAAGTTGGTGGATACGTTCGTGAGAAATTGAGATAGACATTGTAAAACTCAATGTAAGTTACATACGAATTTTAAGGCAAGGAATACCACTGAAAAGTTAACCCCGAAAGTAGGGAGTCTGCTGATCAAAAACAACTAACCATTTAACCAACAGGCTATTTGGTATTGGCAGACGAAAACATATACGATAGCATTCATTTCAGCAAAAAAAAACTGAATGCAAAGGAAATCTAAACTAGGGCTAAAGAAATATCTGCCGAGCAAATTCCAAAACAAATTTTTGTTTTTTCTTTGCGCAAAAAACTAATTTTAATCAAGTCCTTAAAAATCATATATTTCTTTCAACACAATATCAAGAGATATCTACAAAGTTTTATTCATTTATAAACGACGAAAATTTTACGAAGAAAGCTTAAAAATCAAAGAAAGACATATTTTTTCAAATTTAGAGAAAATGGTTATGCTAAATTTTCCAACACTTAAAAATAAAAAAAACATCCGAAATTTCTTTGACTAGTGTAATAATTTCCAGACAGTATAATATTGCGAAAAATAAACAAAAAAACAAAAGCAAAGACGTTCTAATTGTTGCTGAATATCTGAAAAAAAATACTTTGAAAACTTTCAAATTAGTTCAACATTATTGAATAACTGGCAAAAATTTTCATGTTTATCCACACATTTCATGTTTGCAACATCCGTACCCTACAAAAACTTGGAAATCAGATCTGAGCATCCCAATTTTTGCCAATTTCTCATCTGTTGCAGACATGGTCCATGTTTCGTTTGGATATGGACCTGTCTGAATCAGGATTGAGGCATGTATGGATTTTGTCACAAATGCAGACCTGCTCAAGGCGTTATTCAGACCTGGAAAATAGATGGGTCAGATGTGGTCAGATATTTGATTTGAGATAACTTTTTATAGTTACTTTGGATGAAACAACAAACAGAAGCGAAGCGGAGCTTCGCACCCTTTGCACTACAACACAGACATAAAACAAACAGGTTAAAAAAATGTGGAAAGGAGGCGCCTTTGGAAATTTTTCTTTAGAAAACCTAAAGTCTTTAGAAAACCTAAAGCGCCTTTGGAAATTTTTCTAGGGTCAGTCAGAAAAAATGGAGTTCTTAAAAAATAACAAGAAGGAGATCCTTTGAAAAGTCAGGGTGTCGAATCCCTGAGGAAAGGGGGCGAAAGATTTCGATAATTCTCTTCAATGAAAATTTCTTCATTTTATTTGTGACGCTTCCTAGGTTTTGTGACGCATCTTACGTTCTGTGACGCTTCTTCACTGTACGGTCCAAATATCGTGGAAAATCTAATTTGCATTATTAGAAAAAAAATTCACCATTATTTTGTGTTTCGCAGGTGTTTATTTTGAGCCACCCGACTTTTCGTCCCAGAGTTATAACAAAGACATAAGTCAAAAAATCTACATCTAAACAACTTATGTCTATACGTGCTTATCAAAAACGGAAGAAAAGGCCTGATTTAAAAGAATTTTAATGTGTTTGGCCATTTAAAATGGCTATTTTAACCGAAAACAAGACACGTAACAAAACTTGGAAATCAGTTTAAAATTTTAAAAAAAAAATGCTAATTCAGGATTAGTTAAACAAAAAAAGTTTAGTACTAAATAAAGTTAGTTAAAGTAATTAAGACGAATGAATTACGACTGGGCACATCTGCATTTTTTTTATTTCTGTAACATTAATTTTTGAACAAGTAAGTTGCAATTTAGGACAGATATGCATTCTCACATCGAATGGATTATTTACCATTCGATATGAGAATTGATCTCACATAAACAATTATGTTGCAGTTCAGGACAGATTTGCATTCTCACATCGAATGGATTATCATGAACATGGGAATATCCGTTATTTTTCTTTTAATTCTGTTGAGCAGTATTGATATTATAAGAAAAAAATTTGATGAAACTACAAAAATCAAAAAATGCGCGAAACATTGTTTCCATTTTTTAACTCAAATAATAAGCGATTGAAACAATTCATATTAGAAACCAATTTGTAGCGATTTCAGTTGGGTTTTGATGCTCGGCAGTCCGTTGCCTAGAGTCTTCAGAAAATGTCTTGTTTGTTGGTAAAACCAATGAGTTTTCTATGAAACTAATCATAGAGGTATCACAAAACGTACACATCGACTATTCAAAAATTGACAACACTTCTCCTGGACAAAAACCAACAAAACTAATGAAAAACATATATTTTTTGACATAATTATTACACAAGCAAAAACTTATCAATTGCAGTTTAAGAAGTCATATATAGAACAGTAAGAACCACTATTAGCAGAATTTTTGACTCTTGATTACGTTTAATAGAAAAACTTAGAACCGTTTCCAATTTTTGTGATGATATCGAAATCGAAGTTTTGAAAAAGATGGAAATTATCTATTTGGTGTTGGCATCCAAATACTTTTTTTACAAAACTGATTGAGCGAAAAATCTAAGCAATGATTGCACATATGATTTTCCTGTACCCAGGAGATTTTCTGTGAAAGATCTGAAAATATTTAATTTTTACATAAGTTGGTTCTCAGATCTGAAGTTCTTTATTTCAGATCTTGATAAAAATTTGAAATTTTCAGAGCTAAAATTTGGATCTGAAATCTAAAATTTTAGATCTGAAATAACCAAGAAAAAATTTTATTTCAGATCTGAACTAGATTTTTTTTCAGATCTGAAACAACTAAGAGAAACAGGGTTTCAGATCTGAAATTAGACTGAAATAGCCAATTCTTAAAGTATCCAAGCGTTATTTTAACATTTAACAACCCATTTCAGATCTGAAATTTAGATCTGAAAAAGAGATCTGAAAAAAATTATTTCAGATCTGAATGAGAACATTTACTAGGTACTAGCTTCTTCTTTGTTTTATCCAATGAAAACTTTCAAAGTTTTGAGAGCTTGTGTGTTGGCAAGCAACGTTATTGCTGCTATAGAAACAGCAACCAATAGTTTAAATTCAAACGCAAAGGGTTGAATAAATGAACCTTTCAAAACTCTTGGGATGGAAAGATGTTTTAATATCGACAAGTTTTGATGAGCTTTAACTCTAATAACTTCAATACTTAATTGTCCGTCTACGAAAAAAAATTAAGAAAAAACAATAAGAATATTTTGTTAGGCAAAATTGGGTTATTTTGAATTTCGAGCTGTGAGGCCAAACTTCCAGCAAATTTTTTTGAAAACAGAATGACATTTTATAGATCAGCTTTGAGATTTTGCATGTTTAAGCTACAAACTAATGTGACTTACGTTTCCTCGTCTTATATGGAGTCAATTTTTAAATTTGCAACGGGATTGTACGAATAGTTTCATATCTGCAAAACATTTTTGTCATACTGCGGGAAACTAGAGATCTCAAAATCTTAAAAGTAAATCCCTGTCATTATTTTGGGTATTTTGTTGGTTAGTTTTAGCTTTTCAGAAAAATTCAAAATATCTAGATAATATGAAAATGTTGAAAAAAAACTCTCTTGTTTTTGCGAAAGTGTAATTTTTTGGGTAAGTCATTTGCAGCAGCAAATAATTCTTTTAAAATGCAAAAACTTTGTTGCAACTTTCAAAAGAAAAAAAATGATGTGCCTGGTCCTTTTTTCTTCAGTCACATTTGGAGCTTTGAAGCAGTGCTCTTTGAGTGGAGCATCTTATCTGAAAACTTGTAACTTTTGAGCTAAAAACTTCAAAAATATTGTGGCGATTTTTTCTGTGACCATTTTTTTGATAAAAAGGGTTTAAAAAACGCCAATTTGGTCATTTTGGGATGATACATGAAGAACTTATTTTTCCTACCTAAGCGTAAGCGGCAAAAGTAAGGTTCTAACTTGAATTTCACGTTGTACTTTAAATTAGAATGTGAACGACATAAATTGTTATAATGACTATGTTATAATTACAATCGTACTTTAGCCAAAATATAAATAATTATAAATTGTTTGAACAATTTATAATCTATTAAAAAGATAATGTTTTGGGTGACATTTTAATAAACTATAATCAATTATAATTGATTATAATTATTTCGAAAACTTCTAATACTCTCTTATAATATCTTATAATATATTATATTTTATTCTAATAGATTAAAATAGCTTTTTCCATCAAAATATTATCTCACAAAAAATCAATTGTTACGGATTTTAATTTAGCTAATCTGCATGAAAACACATTAAAAATCAAACTGAAATTAAGTTTAAGCTATAAGTATAAAGTTACAATTTCCTTTGGTTCATCAGTTCCTCTCATTCATGAGAGAAGTGAAGGTACGTGAGATGCAACTTGAGGTGACCTTCAGGTGCAGGTAGGAATCACCTTCAGGTGACATGTGGGTGTAGGTAGGATGCACCTTCAGGTGAGAGGTGGGTGTAGGTAGGATTCACCTTCAGGTGGTTGGGACAAAAACAGAAGAAAGGAATCTTACCTGCGCGCACCTTTCACGTGCAGGAGAATTTTACCTGCACGCACCTGTCACCTGGAAACCCCAACAACCAACAACGATTGGTTAATTTATTCAAACCACCAACCGTGCACGTCTCCCCACTCCCAACACAACACCCCCCAGATTGGAATTATTACCGGTGTAGTTATTACCGGTATAATTATTACCCCACCCAGGTTGAATTACTATAAGAAAAACAATTCCGTCGCCCAAAATCTTCCAGTTTTCAAAAAGTTCAAGCCTAGGTGACTTCCGGAATTTTAATTTAAAAAAAATTCTCATACTAATATAGGTTCTGTGGAAGCCGCGCTTCAATTTTTTATGATTGAGAAAACATTACGGTCGGGAGGGGCAGTAAGAGCGATAAATTGTTTTAATAAAACAAGAAAGACTTTTTAAAATTTTTGTAGAATGCATAGTTCATTTCTCCCACGGAAGTACAATTCAAATCCGAAGTTTTCAAAAAAACACTATTTACCATACTATCTGCCACCCAGGACCAATTAAATTAAAATGAATTTGACAAGAAGCTGGAACAGCAGGGACACAAGCTGGAACAGCTGCAAAAGGAGAAAAGGAGGAAGGGGGCTGATTTCGAACATTCTGAGGTGGAGTAATAATTATACCAATTTGATTGACCAGAAATACATTTGTATATTGACTAGACCAGTTTAATATTTCGACCTCAACCTATAATTAATATTTTTGGCCTAAATTCCATCACCTAAATGGCCGCCGCTAACCTGGAGAGACTTTGGCTCAATCTAGTCAATATAAGAACATTTTCATATGATCATGTTTAGGCGTTTTAAGGCGTCACACTAATTAAAAATTGTAATTTCGAAATTTAAAAAAAATGAACTAAAAAGTGGTAAAAAATGACACCAACTGCAAAACCAGCAACCAACACAAAACAAAACAAAACTAAATCAAAATGTGAAGTTTGTTGAATACTAATGGATTATGGTCGATTAAAATGGTTTTTAATTCAAAACAATTTGAGGAAAAATTTACCAAAAATTAATCGATTACAATCGACTATAATCAATTAAAATGGTTTTTTTTGTTTCGAGTAACATTATTTCTAGTAGTAACATTATAATCCATTTTTGATTGATTGTGATCTATTCTTTTTGAAATTTTTGGAGACTGACAAGAATAATCCATTTTAATCTGTTTTTTTTACTCTTTTAACTGAGTGCGGGTGACGACAGATAAAGTATATTTTTGATTTTTTTCTCAATAGTTGATAGTTTAAATAAGAATTATGTATGCAGAAAAAACTTCACCTCTCCGTAATTTGTTCGATAGTCGAAATACACTTTTTCTAAGCTTATCTTACGTGGTTTTTAAATTGAGTAGACAATTATATTTGCCCTTAAAGGGTTAAGCCGAATGTCTCGACTGCTGTTTACTGCGTCTGAACAATGTTTTTTTTGACAAAAATGCAAGATTTTCGAAAACAAATTAGCAGTTTTTTAAATTTTTATTTTTTCAAATTTTTGTAGCATATTTATTGAAAGTATCTAACGCTTCATTCATCTATTTAAACGCACAACGCGTAAGCAGCGCACTGATTTGTCTTACAAACTATTTGGAACTCAACCATTTGAAACAAATGAACTTTAATGAACTGTTACTACACCCACAATCATCTGTTATTTTCTTAAATTCTTCATCAACTTTTTTTGGAACTGAATTACTTGTAATAAAAACAAAAAGCACTAAGTTTAACAAGGCCTGAAGTTCAATCGGCTTGAGTACCGTTGGTTTGTTGAGCTAAACCCAATTACAAAACAGGCACCCCTCCCCCTTCCCTACATCAGTATTTCAACTTTCTTGCTTGCACCACTTGATTGATGCTTTATGATGAGTTTATCGCTAGCACCGAGAATCAAGTTGGATTTTTTAAAACGAAAATATTAGATACACCCCTGAAAAATGTGATAAACCAACAAATGAGATCAAAACTCCGCCAGCTCTAATTTTGAGCTTATTTTAGTTTACTCAAAACCATTACTTTTCTGTTTTTATAAATACGTTTCTGCATGTTTTTACCGCACTAGAGAAAAATGAATACAGCGTGTGTGCTATTTATTGTGTTTTTCTTGTTTCTGGCTGAAAATTTTGTTTGTTCAGTTGTTTGTCCAGATAAGTGTCGGTGCTCTACTTATGACTCACAGATGACCCAAGAGCTAGTCGTGGATTGTTCATTCGCAAACTACTCAGTGTTTCCTAGGCTTCTTCCAAAAGCACAGATTGCCAATTTTTCCTCAAACAGTTTAGAATTTCTGGATGAATCGGCGTTCCGTGGAAGCCAGTATTTGAAAACCATCGATTTATCGGGCAATAAAATACGACAACTTGGGCCGGAACTATTCAACGGTTTACACAACTTGCAGACAGTATTTCTAAACAATAATGACCTTTCTTTTTTCAATTGGCATGTTTTCGATAGATACATTTCCCCTGGTCAGAGCCTCGCCAGCTCAGAGCTGCGTCGCATCAATCTCAACGACAACCCGTGGCACTGCAATTGTCCACTAAAACTAGTCTGGAACAAACTTGAAACCCTCCAAGGAGTCGAGTTCGAGCCTTTAGTCTGCTTTTCGCCTTCAAACTTAAACGGTCGTCGAATCGCAGACTTGAATGACTTATGCGACGACAAAATGAGCATCCACGATATTATCATAATAGCATTAGCGATTTTTTGCTCGATTCTTAGTGTAATTTTTACATTTTGGGGCCAATTGAAGGGTTGTATTTGTATGTGCAGACAATCGACAGCAGAAGTTCCGCTTGAGCGCATCTCAAAATCTTCTGATAATCCTGCGCGTAGTCGAGATTTGAATGATTATAACCGTTTTGATATTTCTGTGAATCAAGAATACGCAAGCAGTAACTATGATTATTTTGATGGCAGTGGATCCGACGTGTATTCCGACCACATAGCGGCGAACAGTAATTATGTTCCAATTGAGAGGCGAGAGAGTCGAATCAGACCTGGTTCACAACCTAGCGGCGGCGGTCAGTTTAGTCCAAGAGGGAGTCAGTTTAGTCCATCGCGGCCGACCATAGCTCCGTACAGAGAGAGCTTCAGAAGTGTTTCGGTTGACCAGAGGTACAACATGCCGGTATCAGTTTCGATTCCGGAAGCTCCGCTAGAGTCACATCGTCGTTTGCCGAGTTTCAAGGAAACCAGTATATGAACAGTCAAAAATTGCGCAAACGATTATTGAACTGTTGAATTTTCATTATTAAAGAAATGTACACGAAAAAAATGATTGAATTAAAATGATGTTTGTAAAATTTCTACCAGCAAGAAAATTAAAAACAAAGTTAGAAAAGTATGAAAAATAAAAATTGGAATTTTTTTGAAAGTTAGAACCTCATAGCAACATGACTATCGTGTTAGGCGGTGTAAAATGATGCAAGCTTGCAGTATAACACCATAAAACGTCTATTTGCGGGCACATGAGAACTTTATATCGGATCTATTTCTGAAGTCATCCTGGGTATTCATCTCATGCAGCAAAAACAAATTTGTCAGAATAAAAACGTTGCAGAGCTCGGGAGCCGAGACAAACCAACGTTGTTGCTCCAAGTTTGACGAAAATGTAATCAAATATTTCGGGAGGGGGGGTCGGATTTTCAAAAAAAAATTTCAAAAATTTGTCGACCTTTTTTTGGTCGGCCAAATTGATTTTGTGGGCACTCTCAGAATACTATAAATACAATATTTTTACAAAATTTTTTTTTGCAACGCAGGCAAACTTTGAAAAAAAAACAGGTCAAAAAAGCCGGTTCAGCACTTTTTGGAACTCTTTGGCTGGTGAAGGGGTTAAATCCTTTTTGGGACTCTTTGGCTGGTGAAGGGGTTAAATCCTTGAAAAAAAAACAACCGACGCCCCTTACCCCCCCCCCACCAAAAAAATCCACCCCTGCATCAGCTACTGTATAGTTTATGCTGCAACTTTTGTCTCGCATAGCTAAATTTGTGAGCTCATTCTTTTTTGACGAACATGTTCTCCTAGTCGTCATTTGTTTCTTCTTTAGCAAACTGGAAACTTTCAAGGGTGAGTTGATGGAACGCATTATTACAATGCATCTAAGCAGGAATGGATCTGGGATTTATTCAAACCGGGCAAAATTATTTTGTCAAAAAATTCCGCGGCTCGCAAATTTTCGAAAAAGAAGCTCAAATTGCCATTTTGCAACGTTTGGAAGGTTTTGGTGCGTTTTACTGCGTTTTTTTGGTGCGCGCTCCTCCCTCAAAGACTTGCGCTTTTTAACTGGCGCTTTTAAAAATTTTTTGGGCAATTTGGCCAAAAATGTAGGCCAAAAATGAATGCCGACAAACACTAAAAAATAGGGATCGTTTAGACACTAAAATTTGAAATTTTGTTCTCTCGGAGAAAATGCTTGTCGTTCAAATTTCTTCAATGGAAATTGTATGATACAATTTTTTTGGAGGTGAATCCGGGGACAGAGTCTCCCCTCTTCTAAGTCCGCCCCTGCATCTAAATATTTCTAATCCTTTCTTACAGATCTAATCACATGCTTGAAGCAACAGCTTTAGGAAAAGTCATTGCAATTATTAAGCTAATCATATAACATTTTTTCAACTTTGTGTGTTTTTCATCTGATCAGTTGAAAAATCGGGAGAAACTTTGTATTCAGGTGTGTTTTAGTTTTTTCTTTTTGTTTTTCACGCAAATTCAAGTACCACAAATATTCATCAGAATGGGTTGAGTGATATATTATATTGAAACCATTTAAATTGTGATTCGAACGACATTAACTAAAACTGGTTTGAAAATTTTGATTTTTTTTTGTCTAATTTCGAACTAATATGGTGTGAGCGAATAGGCTTACAATAGCTTATTTAAGCTTACTTTAAGCCGTGAAAGCTAGTTGTTCTCAAATAAAAGTAGTTTTTGGAATTTTTTAGCGCCATTTTGTACACAAAGTTGAAAATTCGGAAAAAATTTTGTAATTTTTTTAAATTTTATTTTTAATTTTTTTAAACATTATTTTTCGTTTTTCTAGTCAATTTTTTCTGCAAAAATGTTTTCCGAATAGCCTTTGTTACTATGACTGTGAACTATGCTTAAGTTTTGTTTTCGTTCAGATCATTTTATCGCTACAGAAAAAAACGGCACTAATTTGAAAAAAATATATGTCGACTGTGGTCGGAACATTCTGGGCTATCCTTGTTCTTAACATGTTTTCATCACTTTGAGTTGTCTGCAATGACTTCAGTGAGTCACTAAATTTCGCATATCAAAATGTAGTGTTCTTTTGATTTTGTTTATATCCTCTTCATTTTTTCCTAATAAGTTCTTTTCTGATTTGTAGCAATCAGTTAACGCCAAGTTTTTCTTCAATTGCTTTAAGAAAAGAAGCGCGATACACTTTGCCACTCATACAGTAGAACAGAAAGTTGGCCGAAATATTAATAATCACCGTCGCTTCCGTGGCCGCTGTGAAGAAAAGCACTCGACTCCTGGATTCTTAGCACGTGAAAGGAGTCCGGAGAAGACTTAAGCTAGCACCGAGATAACCAAAAACGATACAGCTAAGCAGAACAGGATCCGAACATACTCCCTCGCATTCTGCTGCTTCTGACCTTTTCGTTCGGAATTATGGTCGGGTGCTACCGGGTCTTCTGATCCGCGGGTCGAAGTGGCATTTCCCTTCCTTTTCCCCAATCCCTTGTCTCCGTTTCGTTTATCTGTTGGTAATAATGTTAGAAAACTTAAGAGGAGAAACATCAATTTTCCAGATGCAATTTTTTTCTCCGGAAAAAGTTCCAACTATTTTTATCAGAAGTAGATGAATAATAAATCATATCAACTTACTCTTCGTTTTTGCTCCTCCGCCATCGGTTTTTAGTTTCGTTTCGGCTCGTTTCAGCGGGGAAACCGCGAAAACAACATTGCACACGAGTAACACTATAGGAGTGATGATGGCGAATAATAGAAGTGTTATCCATCAGCCGAATGTGTAATAGACACTCGGCAGCGAATCACCCTCTTTGAAAAAGAATACATGGAAGTACACCTCATGCTCAATCGATGATCCTACTCATTTATCAAATTTTTATACGTTTCATTGTTTTGGTTCCAATCATTTATTTTTCTTTTGATAGAGAAAATTTTGAATTTTTTGAGAGATGTCTCCAATAAAGGGAAAATTTTGTTGAAAAAACCTCGATATATTGTCAAAATACCTCCAACAATTCATGTTTAACTGGCACGTGAAAAGGCATTCATTTTCAGGCAAGAGAGAACGTTTCATTCCAAACTAAGTTCGTTGCAGGCTTTCACATTTTTTAACCAAGAGCTCACAAATAATGAAAACAAAAATTCCATCGGATCAAAGCGGATGCTATTTGTTTTTAATGTCACCGCCTGATTAGTTGTTAGTTCACTCATCATTCAGGGAAAAAACCCAAATTTCCCCAAAATTGTTTTGGAACGAAATCATCGGGTATGGGACTAAAAAAAAGCTTCTCTGAGTTTTGGGAAAGCTCAGAACTTTAGTCCTTTAAAGCTTATGCATCGTTATATTCAACATACAGAGTAGCATAATGTATCTGGAATAGGTTTTGAACTAGTATTTATAAACCAATTATATTATTGATAAAACTATCGCTATAAAATTTTACTAACTAACCAATCATATTCCAAAAATTACATTGATAATTATTTGTAAGTGCTGAAACTACTTGTAGTTTCTGCACCACAACAATTCTAATAAATCTAAGACTACAGTTGTTCTCCTTTTGGACAAGCTCCAAGACCAACTCGCAAGTACCAGTATACACTAGATCTATTGAGACTAGGAGATTCAAGAGTAAGATTAAGATTAATATTAGACTAAGAGGTTGCACAAATCTATCCGGCCGAAAATAAGATAGCGTGACGAACAGACGGTGTACCTTATCTGAAAATACTCTTTGAGAAAGCTACATCAGGCTTAAACTCATCTGGTTCAACCAGTGAGGCACTTCTCCTTTTCATAATATTTTGCAGCCTCTTTAAAATTTTCTACTCCCTCATAAAAACCTACTATAACTTCTCAAAAAATCTTGAGCACCTTCTCTAGGTACAAAGTTTCAACAACCTTTTAATTTTTACTACTTTTATTTAACAACAAAAAAAATCTTTCTTCTTTTTGGAATTTTTGTTATCTTTGTAGCCTCCCTCATCCTTACCATTTGGAAATGTATAAAAAAGGCAATAATTAATTTCACATTAGCAACAATTCTCCTGATAATTTTTATCGAACAATACTATAACAACATAGGTACTAATTAGGAAAAAAACTGTTTATTAAAAAAACCAAAATGCTAACCAACAACCAAATAAACAATCGCCACCAACCACTACATCCCAAGACCCCCCAACAACACCAACATATAGTAAAACAAGCCAACACTAATCATCTACCCGTATTTCATTTTAAGAAAATCCTTATTCATTCGAAGAAAGACACGCATCATTATCCGAATCTTTGATACCAGCAAATCGTCAACGAACCCCTAAATGAACTACAATACGAACCAACATATAACATTTACCCCTCACTTCAACAAAATAATAACAGAGCTAGACATCCAAGCCAAAACCAAAATTTAACATCTGAATAGAAAGACAATTATTCACCATCGAAGAAATCGAAACCTTGCAACACCAAAAGTTCATTTTATTATTTCTTCACCACCCTCTTTGACCCTTTGGATCTTTCTAGTAATACAATTCTAAGTACCCCCCATCACTACAGACAATTTACCAACAAAATACCTCAAATATCCCATCAGATTTTTAAGGTTCAACACCAACCTCTGAACAAATTCGTGATAATCCTTTTAATTCTCCTGCGTCAACACATCGTCCACCATATTGGATGACACAAGCATTCTCCCAAGGCGATTAAAACTTAGGAAACGACCCCATTGACATTTCATCCGATACCTTTTTAACCCTAACAGAAACCCTATCCCTATCATCAACCCCTTCAGTAATAAGTTCCTCCCATCTGCACCCCAGCTAGTCAAGGCCAGGGGCAATGGTTCTGACTTTATCAAATCATAAGAACTAATTCAAACGAAATTAAAGTCACCACCGGGAACCCGTTCTACCTTTCCGAGGTAGCAGTGGTGGTCATGAAAGTACAATCTGCACAAGTTTGCCTATTGATTGTACGCACCGGGACAACGCCAACATGACTTGGCGGCTTGGGCATTGGCATTGCCTTGACCCACGAGTATCAGTGCTTCACATAGCAGTGATTGATTATTAACTTTCTAACGGAGCACCGATATGAGCAGAGCGGACATT